CGATACCCGTGGTGGGCAGAGCACAGATAGCCCATTGTGTAGCTTTGTGCTTAATTACAAACAAACACTGCGTTATTCACATTACATGAACTTAAATAGTTTGTCCAACGGTACTTAAGTGTTGCCTGTAGTAATTAGAAAACAGAGTTACATTAGTAATTGTTTTGTTCACACATTTGAGGTCATAAAAGGCTAAATGAGATCTTAATAAAATAAGAGAGAGGATATATCTTGGTCACAGGAAAGTAAGTACGACCCATTCGGCAGCATAGAAGTTAAAACTATACTAAATTGTGAATGTATTACGTGTTAAGATAAAATGTCTTCTTAAAAAGGTCTATTAGTGTTACATTTTAATACCATTGAAAGATATGTTCATTGTCTTACATAGAAATTAATATTCTTAAAACACATTGGATCTTACAAAGTAAAATTGTTTTTTTATAGTACGGTTTCGAAAACTTAAGATATTGAATTTTTGTGTTCTAGACATCTGTATCTGAACCTCTGCAGTTAAAAATCAAAGTTAAAGTGACTGATATGTTTGAAAGTCGTGTCGTTTTTTTAAAAAAAAAACCTTTGCTAACATGTTAGAAAATAATTTTGAAATTGTATTTTATACTCATTAGACTTTTAATTGAAAGTTAATTATGTTATTATTTCACAGGTGGTGATATCAGCTCTATACTACAACCCTTCTTTACTAATTGAGACATTAGAAAAAATTCAAGTTCCAAACACTACAAGTTCAGTGACTGCACACTTCATTCAGCAGTGGCTTCATGACACCCAGTATTTCATGGGGTAAGTACAGTACAGCTTATACTGCACACTTCATTCAGCAGTGGCTTCATGACACCCAGTACTTCATGGGGTAAGTACAGCCTACATTATACTGTACACACACTGTTCCTCAGTGGCTTCATGACACCCAGTATTTCATGGGGTAAGTACAGTACAGCTTATACTGCACACACACTGTTCTTCAGTGGCTTCATGACACCCAGTATTTCATGGTGTAAGTACAGCCTACATTATACTGTACACACACTGTTCCTCAGTGGCTTCATAACACCCAGTACTTCATGGGGTAAGTACAGTACAGCTTATACTGTACACTTCATTCAGCAGTGGCTTCATGACACCCAGTATTTCATGGGGTAAGTACAGCCTACATTATACTGTACACACACTGTTCCTCAGTTGTTTCATGACACACTACCACCATGAGTTGTTCTTGAAACACATTTTGTGAAATTGCTACTCCATAATGATGTACTTTAAATACCAAAACTGGACCAGCCCACTTATATTTTTACCATAATGATGTACTTTAAATACCAAAACTGGACCAGCCCACTTATATTTTTACCATAATGATGTACTTTAAATACCAAAACTGGACCAGCCATCTCTTATATTTGTTTAAATCAGCATTAAATAAATGTTTCATATTTGAAAGGAACTTTTGCCGTGGGAAACTATTAAAATTAGAATACAGCACGTTTTAAATGTAGTTGTTAGAAAGTCAACCTATTGTAGTTCTTTAGCTTAATCGTAAACACAAATGTAGCTTTGTTTTCTTTTCCAGATTACATGATCGCAAACTGTGTGTCCTTGGACTCTGTACATTAATGAATACATCCTCGTTACGTCCTCCCATCGTCAATCAGTGTGCTAACCAGATAATTCCTTCTTTGCTTCAGTTGTTTGAGGGTCTGAAGAAAGCTTATGCTTGTAAGTATTATGTGTTCTACTTGATGTCAGTGGCTGTAGTTATTCTTATTTAAAGAGTAGTTTAACTATAAATTTACAGTAACTGCATCTCAAATTTATATTGTTTTTCTTAATTAAAGTTAACATACTTATCTATTTGATTTACAGCAAATAACTAGATTAGTTTTCTACGAATGGTCAAATAACTAGATTAGTTTCTACAAATGGTGAAATAACTATTAGTTTCTACGAATGGTCAAATAACTAATTAGTTTCTACAAATGATGAAATAACTAGATTAGTTTCTACGAATGGGTCAAATAACTAGATTAGTTTCTACGAATGGTCAAATAACTGGATTAGTTTCTACGAATGGTCAAATAACTAGATTAGTTTCTACGAATGGTCAAATAACTGGATTAGTTTTCTACGAATGGTCAAATAACTGGATTAGTTTTCTACGAATGGTCAAATAACTGGATTAGTTT